TCGTCATTGTGGTCTCATTGCATTCAAAATATATTTCAAACATTTTTAACCTAGTGACGGAACAGACATTTTTTTCGGGAACAAGATTTATTCAATGGTTGTACAGTGAAAATGTGATAACACACAAAACCAGGAAAATGTGTGAAGTATTCACCGCTGTTCAATTGAGAGGTGTCATACAAAATGTTCAAATGATATTCCGGTTTATATAGATTAACAACCGATTACAACTATACCATTATAGCCACGAATACATTTATAAATCACAATATACAAAAAAAGCCTAGAATATACGTGATACTATTTACTGACACATTAAAGAAATATACATTTGATATATTCACAAATAATTGTTTAAAAAGAAGCAATATGCCACTCGACACTGCTTACCGGAACAGATTAAGAACACAGTCTGTTACAATGAAATCTCAATATAAATTATTCAACATGGCACAGCTGTATGTAACACGTCTTTTTCCTTAGCACGTTATGTAAATCTTGCCATGGTTAGTCACAGATGAAATTATATTATTAGTCAAGACACGTAATAGTACGCTTTTTAGTATAGAAAACTTTTATTAAAAACCCTGATATATAACACCATTCAAAATTGTTTATTGATGTGGGCTTCAATCATTTGCTATCACAACCAATAACCGCCACACAGAGTTGTTTTTGGGGGCTAGTCAGAACTACAATAATGTCCTAACCTAGACACATTACGATACACAGAAGTGTGATTGACTGGAAAGTCAGAGTTACAATGATCAACTCACCAAGAAAGATAACGAAACACTGACTGTTTTTCTTTTATTTGGTTAGTCACAGCTACAAAGGTTTACTATCCCAGACATATAACGCCACACAGGTTTGATTATTTTGTTTGTTAGTCACAGCTACAATGATTTACTATCCCAGACATATAACGCCACACAGAGTTGTTTTGAGGTGGTTAGTCACAGCTACAATGATTTACTTACACAGATATATAACGCCACACAGAGTTGGTTTTGGGTTGTTAGTCACAGCTACAATGATTTACTTACACAGACATATAACGCGACACCGAGTTGTTTTGGGGTGGTTAGTCACAGTTACAATGATTTACTAACAAAGACATATAACGCCACACAGAGTTGTTTTGGGGTCGTTAGTCACAGCTAAAATGTTTACTAACACAGACATATAACGCCACACAGAGTTGTTCTGGGTTGGTTAGTCACAACTACAATGATTAACTTACAGAGACATATAACGTTCTAAAGAGTTATTTCGGAGTGGTTAGTCACAGCTACAATGATTAACTAACACAGACATAATTATAACGTCACACAGAGTTATTTTGGGGTGGTTATTCAAAGCTACAATGATTATCTAACACAGACATATATAACGTCACACAGAGTTGTTTTGGGTTGGTTAGTCACAGCTACAATGATTACCTAACACAGACATATAACGTCACACAGAGTTGTTTTGGGGTGGTTAGTCACAGCTACAATGATTATCTAACACAGACATATAACGTCACACTGAGTTATTTCGGAGTGGTTAGTCACAGCTACAATGTTTATTAACACAGACATATAACGTCACACTGAGTTGTTTTGTGGTGGTTAGTCACAGCTACAATGTTTATTAACATAGACATATAACGTCACACAGAGTTATTTTGGGGTGGTTATTCAAAGCTACAATGTTTATCTAACACAGACATATATAACGTCACACAGAGTTGTTTTGGGGTGGTTAGTCACAGCTACAATGATTATCTAACACAGACATATAACGTCACACTGAGTTATTTCGGAGTGGTTAGTCACAGCTACAATGTTTATTAACACAGACATATAACGTCACACAGAGTTATTTTGGGGTGGTTAGACACAGCTAAAACGATTAACTAACACGGACATATAACGTCACACAGAGTTGTTTTGGGGTGGTTAGTCACAGCTACAATGATTAACTAACACAGACATATAACGTCACACAGAGTTGTTTTGGAGTGGTTAGTCACAGCTTCAATGATTTAATAACACAAACATATAACGACACTCATATTTTGTTATAAAACAAACAAATTACATCTTAGTGTCACGAGTTTCAAGAATGTTTCCTTACCAAAGCCAATCTTTGGTATTTAAGATTTTACTCAGCAAGCCTAATTGAATGTAAAAAAGAAAAAATGGACTGTGAAATCAAGGTGGAAGCGGGGGTATAGTCATTCTTATACTAAATACATTTATAAATAGTAAGTTACGTACATTGTAGAAGCAAACTATCAATCGCTTGCCTATAAAATATATCAATGGATTCCCTTGGTGTAGTTATCATAGCTATAATAATGTGCTAACCCAAACATGTAGGACCATTCAGGATAAGTTGAGGATGATTAGTCGCCACATCCACAATTAACTAACCCAGACCTGTCACAACAGCCAGGATAAGTTGAGGATGATTAGTCGCCACATCCACAATTAACTAACCCAGACCTGTCAGACCATTCAGGATAAGTTGAGGATGATAAGTCGCCACATCAACAATTAACTAACCCAGACCTGTCACACCAGTCAGGATAAGTTGAGGATGATTAGTCGCCAAATCCACAATTAACTAACCCAGACCTGTCAGACCAGTCAGGATAAGTTAATGATGATTAGTCGCCACATCCACAATTAACTAACCCAGACATGTCAGACCATTCAGGACAAGTTGAGGATGATTAGTCGCCACATCAACAATTAACTAACCCAGACCTGTCAGACCAGTCAGGATAAGTTGAGGATGATAAGTCGCCACATCAACAATTAACTATCCCAGACCTGTCAGACCATTCAGGATAAGTTGAGGATGATAAGTCGCCACATCCACAATTTACTAACCCAGACCTGTCAGACCAGTCAGGATAAGTTAATGATGATGAGTCGCCACATCCACAATTAACTAACCCAGACATGTCAGACCATTCAGGACAAGTTGAGATGATTAGTCGCCACATCAACAATTAACTAACCCAGTCCTGTCAGACCAGTCAGGACAAGTTGAGGATGATTAGTCGCCACATCTACAATTAACTAACCCAGACCTGTCAGACCAGTCAGGATAAGTTAATGATGATTCGTCGCCACATCCACAATTAACTAACCCAGACATGTCATACCATTCAGGACAAGTTGAGGATGATTAGTCGCCACATCTACAATTAACTAACCCAGACCTGTCAGACCAGTCTGGATAAGTTGAGGCTGATTAGTCGCCACATCCACAATTTACTAACCCAGACCTGTCACACCAGTCAGGATAAGTTGAGGATGATAAGTCGCCACATCCACAATTAACTAACCCAGACCTGTCAGACCAGTCAGGATAGGTTAAGGATGATTAGTCGCCACATCCACAATTAACTAACCCAGACCTGTCAGACAGGTCAGGATCGGTTGAGGATGATAAGTCGCCACATCCACAATTAACTAACCCAGACCTGTCAGACCATTCGGGATAAGTTGAGGATAATTAGTCGCCAGATCCACAATTAACTAACAAAGACCTGTCAGACCAATCAGGATAAGTTGAGGATAATAGTTCGCCACATCCACAATTTACTAACCCAGACCTGTCAGACCAGTCAGGATAAGTTGAGGATGATTAGTCGCCACATCCACAATTAACTAACCCAGACCTGTCAAACCATTCAGGATAAGTTGAAGATGATTACCAAAATTCCACCTTTTAACGCAGAGTTATAACAAAATCGTTCACAGATCTCCTGAATGAATAGTATTAGATAGTACACTGTAAGAGTTTGCCACATGTTAAATAATGAACCTTAACATTTCATAAATATGAACCTTAACATTTCATAAATAAGTATTTTTTCTCATTATAAAACACTGCAACAACTAAAAGCATTCTCAGTTGATTTAAGCAATGCTTTCAAACGCAAAATCGTTGTATTCCTCAAGTTAAGAATCTTTCGGGAAACTGAATCATAAGACTCTGTTCCCCCAGGTCTACTTCCCTTAGGCAATGCCTGGAAAGTCCTGACCAAAGGAAACCAGATTATCCCGAAATCATGTATGTTTACTGTTTCATTAAATACCGATAAAAACCAAGCAGGCTGTTCTTTTCGACCACATACATGTATCAAGAGACATATATATATATACTATTATTGGCTGTACTGGTGTTTCGATCGATAAACTAACTAACTGAGGGGTCAAGATAAAAAAAACAATCTCCGTCCACTTCACTTGATTGCCCAGGTCATTTCTGTAAAGCTACGAAAACTTCCGAATGAAATGTTGTGTTTTAACATTTCTTGGCAGATAAACCACTCCTTGAACAGGAAAGTCAATGGAGCAGCATTGATACAGTTAAGTCTAACAAGCTAGTTATACATTGTATATAGTGTAAAGTACTGGTATAAGAGTCAAACCTACAATATTTGAATTAGTTTTATCCCTACTTCACACACTTTATAATGCTGTGGCTTTAAATCGCAGAAATTGTTATCGTGTTTTTTTTCTTTCGACCTTTCGATGGTATCTTTCTACAGTGTCGTGTTTCTATCTGTCACAGCAGTAGGGGTGGTTGTGGTGTATTCGTGGTCATAAGATCACAATGAAGCATCGAACAGGTTCATATGTTGGCATCTGATGATGGTCCTACACAAATTACTATCTTTCTTTCTTCTATCCATCCTTCTCTCTTGCTTAGTCGCCATCGTGGTGTTTTTTTCAAAAATTGAATTGGAATATCGTGTTTGTGTTCGATGCCAAGCAATGCACACTGACCTGTCAGTCATCGGCAACATCGGGATTCAATATCGATTTCCTGAAACAATTGTTTATTGCTTAAATGTTTGAGTGAAGGTAAATGGTGTATGGCGGCTGATGTTTTGACACTGATTGGGATGGGCGGGGGAGGGCGGCAAGAAAGGAAGGGAGGAGGAGGGGGAGGGGAAGTCGATAGATAGTGAAGGATAAGGAGAAAGAGGACGAAAAACAAGGATTGTGAAGAATGATGGATAAAATGAAGGACGGGTCAGATGAAAAGAGGATAAATTTAAAAAAAAAAAGCAATGATAAAAACCTTGAGGATAAAGAGGAGACACGGACATGGGGAGAGATGTATTGGAAAAACTGGAGGAGGAAGGAAGGACGAGGAGGACGAGCAGGACGAGCAGGAGGAGCTTGTATTGGGAAGTCAACACGTATTTAGAAGTTCCGTTCCTTGCTTGCAGAATCGATCACCAGTCGCCCGTCATTCCATCAGCTGGGCTCAGGTGTCAGTGACAGAATTAAATCTGCGCGTGCCCTTGATCTAGGTGGGTGATGCTAATCTGCGGCCGGGAATTTACTCTGGGGAGTCATGCACATAAATAGTTAATTTTGTTAAGAAATATAATGATTAATCATACAGAGCACTAATACTATTAACTCGTGGTTCAGTCATTTCATAGTATACTATATTTACGAGCGTGCTTGGTTTAGGGAATCGAGGAGGAGTGATAGGGAAGTCAACATTTCCACGGTAAGTACTATCTCATGTGCATTTTTTCAGAATATATTTCTATTTATTATTACAGAATAGTGACACAACAGCAAAACAAATATTACTATAGAATTGTATACAACAGAATCACATGTATGTACTACATAACTATATACTACAAAATTACATGTGTGTACTACATAATTATATACTACAGAATTACATGTGTGTACTACATAACTATATACTACAAAATTACATGTGTGTACTACATAACTATATACTACACAATTACATGTGTGTACTACATAATTATATACTACAGAATTACATGTGTGTACTACATAATTATATACTACAAAATTACATGAATGTACATTGTACTTCATAATTACATACTACAGAATTGCTTGTTTTTACAAAAACACTCCGTCTGGTTTTATTTTATATGTTAGTTACATACCCCACTAGAACTGAAAACAAATAGACGACGTTTGCTTGCTTTCATATACCATTTCCTTTTTATTATCATTATGATTATTGATATTCAATATTGGTTGTGGTTTGTTTTTGTTTTTGTTTTTTGTTCTAGTGACGTGAATTTGCTTAATACTTTGCCCTAAATGTTCAAATGAAAACAAATACATTGCAAAATCTTTATTTACCCTTCACATATAATGACAATTGGCAGACATTTGGATTTGACATTCTCTTATGATATATCAAGGCATTGCCCATTTCAAAGTGACTTTATATATGTAGAATGTAATGTAATTCCCTGATGTATGTCATACCTACAGATGTAAACCTCATTGTGAGTATGTTAAAGAAAACCTCACAGAGCTAAGACGTATTGATACAAGGTACTTACAAATAATACATATTGCAGCCTATTTCCAAGAAACGCGATATTTATTATTATTGATATTCATACTGATTATAGCCCCTCTGCTTACTTTGATTCTAAGATGGCAATCATTATTTATCTACCTGTAATAAGAAATGTATTGTTTTCATTTCAAAATGTACTGATTTACTCCTTTGAAAATTAAATATTTACACAAAGGAAAGAATAAGGGACGTTGAAAAACTGAGTAAGCAACAAACAGACCAGTCTTCGGCCTTTGATGTAGTCTAACTTTGACTTTCGTCCTTTTAACCTTTAGTTATGTTTATAATGAAATGTAAATGTCGACCTGAAAGTTAAATGTGACTCGGACAGGTTTAAAGTATACGCGTTTTTCTCGACACTTAAAAACGCAGGCTATAAAAACTGCAGCTCTAGCAGAACTGTTACAGGTGTCGTAAAGTAGGTTCGATTATGTGCAGCCCGGCTTATATACGTATAGATTGTATAAATACAACAGGCCAGATAATGTACGATGTAAAATGCCCTATTTTTCTTTTTTATGATCTACAGTTTGTTGTTGGTATGTTTGAACAAGTATGCAATGTTAAGTCGTTGAGGCCTGCGCTTTTTAAACAATATATTCAAACTAAACTCAGCGCTATGGACATCTGAACAAGACATAGTGTAATATCCTTTACGCCCCCACTCCAAATTTTAACCCGAATAGGTAAAGTGATATCAATGTCATTTGTACCTTACTAGAGTTGAGCTCCTCCCAAGTAATGCCTTCAAGCAAACTTGAGAAAAGTGGTTGATGAACAATGTTTGTGTTCGGTTTTTTCCCCTTGCATCGTCCAAGGGAGTAAGCAAACGTCTGATTGAGTCTTTCAAAAGTGTTGGAGATGATTTCGGGGAAATATACCTCAAATTGTCTAGTCCTTAGTTTCTTGCGCTATACCACTTTTTAATTATTTGTTGTTACGAGAACCACAATTTGTCTTTCACACTTACTATTTCGTATACACTGTACAAACATATTTAAGCAAAACTGGAAATGACCATTGTAAGTCAATTATTTGATAAATCAATTTACAGATGAAATAACATAATGGGTAATGAGGCGTTTAAGGCAACATGCAGTCACGTACAGTAAGCCGCTTTAAAGAAAGAAAAGCGTTTATTGTCCCGTGTACAAAGAGACAGATGTGTTGTCCTTAATCCGATTGAGCTACTAACAAAATCCTAGTCATTTCTTCCCAGGTAATATAAATATTATAGGTGTTAACCATAGGGACTGATACCTAATAACTCTCAATAACACAACATCAAATACATTGGTCGTATTAAATAAGATAGTCCGAATTATTCTGACGTTTTATCGACTTTTTTCATATCGGTCTGTCGTCGATTAATCGAAGACAGACCGATATGAAAAAAGTTGATAAAACGTCGGAATAATTCGGACTATAAATAAGATGAATTGGGTGAAGGGAACACGTGCGTCTCATTACACGTATAGTCGGTAGGAGCTGTGATAGATTTGTGTTTAACTTATTTTGCTGCGTTCCTTCAAGATAGTAATATGATGAAAATTCAATATTAAAATATTCTTTTCCATGTCACATATTAAACACACACACACACGTATATATATATATATATATATAACTAGTAATAGTACACTGAAATTGTTCAACCATCAGGTTATGTGTGGCCTACGAAACACCTTGTATTGAAGTGATTGTATTTAAAGTTGAATGTCAAAGATAAACTGTTGTAATAAAATTCAGAGTTCATATGATAAAATTACTAACCACCTACTTCATTACATGGGAAACATGCTATATAGCACCGACTATAGTATTAGTCCTCCAGATACCGAATGAAAGGAACTGCAGCGTTATCGGAATGTGGCTATTTTCCCCCTGGGTAATGTATTATCACTACGCCCACTGATTCGTCTGTGTGGTGCTGGGTAAAACGCTTCCTTAGTAACATCGTCCTGCGTCAGTGTCACCGGTTTTAAGTTCATTATTAAAATGGAGATCCACAATAAATGCCGCATTCAAACAAATAAAATAAAAAGTGTCCACATTGATGCATTTACAGAAGTGGATGTCCACACGGCCACATTTAACACAAACGGATGTTCACATTGCCTCGGTCGAGTTATATCTTCTTATACATTGTCTGATTCCCTCGTTACGGTCATTCCTCTAACGTCATCATTACGGGTTCACAATCGACACGCATACAATGTGCTATTAACAACCATTCCCTATGGGTATTGAGGCGAACACATCTTTTATTGGTACAAAATTAACTGTAGATTTGTATTTCCATATCGGGCCAAAGTGTACACAGCCAAACATACATAATTCTTAAATCTAGTATTGGGTGTAGACACCGCGTTATATACAATAACCAACTCACTGCAACAGCCCTGTTTACTTACCTGACTGGAGCACATCAAATCGCCTTGGTTGTCAAGATGACTGTGTCAGATGGTTTCCTGTAGTAGTGGTGGTTGTGGTGTATTCTTGGTCATAAGATCACAATGAAGCATCGAACAGGTTCATATGTTGGCATCTGATGATGGTCCTACATAAATTACTAGGACTTAAATAATCATCAAAGATTCGTTTTATAACCTACAAATGTTGACGAAAATAACATGAACATCGTAATATGGTACGCAAAAAGCAGCAGCAATAACATATGGACATAACAGGTGATTTGAATTACATGAAATCTGGCGAAAAGCATTCAAACTCAATTCTTATCTTTCCCAGCTACTAGATGACACCGGAAATGAAATGAAAATGAAAATACACTAGATATTTTATCATAAATATAAGCTAGATCACACGTCCTTAAATGTCCTCATTAAGGTCGCTAATCAAGTAAATCAAACCAAACGTTCAGGCGTTGTTCTTGCCTTAGACCTTGATGTTATTATATCCGTTACCAAACCTCTAACGGCCGAAAAAACAAGGCTCGTTCTCGTAGTGTACATATCTACAGAAATGCATTTGAACACGATGAAGATAGCACTAACTTCATCTGAAAACAAATCAGTGTCCTCTTGATGCTTGTTGTCTATGGTGTCCCAAACATTAGCTCTCGAAATGTATTGGTATACCGATTAAGCAAAACCCAAGCCACTCCTGGGCTTGGACAAAATATTGAAACCTTCAATGAGAGTATGTTTATCTCTAAGGAACTTGTACTGCTACATAAATACTTGTAAAAGTTGGACTTGTGTAAAGCAAAACTTATATAATATAATAGCGTACATTGAAATGGAATTCAAGCAAAAAGTAGTTGTCCGTTTGGAAAGTGCTCAAAATGAAAACAAAACAAACAAAACAAAAACAGAAAAACCTAGGCCCATATTCATGAAACCGTTCTCATGCTCAAGTATGTTTTTTGTGCTCCAGCCTAATTTCGTGTTTCAGTTATAAATTTATATGATATTATTATTTGTTTAATGATTATTTAAAAAAAACATTTGAAGAGACTTAAAGCCGAATACTATTTTTAATGTTTCATTTTATTTTTTGATTGTTTTACATTATTTAAGTGAGTTTCAAGAAAGCAGGTTTAAGCATAGAATCCAAGCTTGAGCATGGGAATGGTTTCTTGAATTTGGGCCCAGATTTTAAAACATGTTGTTCTTATGAAGGCATTGTTGTATGGGCAGGGATACCTTTTAGATATATTATTGTTATACATACACAAGTAGTATAGGGTATTTATCATCACGTGAACACGCTCCACATTAGCAGTACATGTATCTATCGAATGTACATGTATACCTGAACATTACCAGAATATGTTTTAATTGAATGTATGCCCTATCAATACACCTATTAATTGATTGTATACCTGTATCTTGTTAGTTGAGGTTTTAATTGATTGTGTAACTTTACATGATCAGCACTTGTTTTTATTATTTGTTCAACACATTTTTGCATAAGGCTCAAGGAAGCAGCGATACACACATTGATCATTGAAGTAGGAGAAAACGTGAACAATCGTTCATTGTTGTGAAAGTTTAACAGAGAGATTTTCAAGCCCAAACTTTTGAAATATTATAAAGATAATGACCACAGTCTTTTAAACCTACATTGTCTTACTAGAAAAAAAACTCACTCACATCTTCTGATGCAATACTAGCTACTTTCAT